TGAGGGCCCATGGCCGCATCAGCGGGCACGTGTTGATGGCGTTGAGGTTGATGGAAGCCTCCTCCTCACTCTGACCCCCAGACAGGAAGGTGACACCTGCAGAGAGCAGGGTTATGGCACCAGGGAGACCACAGGGCATCCCCCTTCTGGTCCCCACCATGTTCTGGTGCTGGTACCTGGCACGGCAGGGGGCACGGTGCGGCGCAGGGCAGTGACAGTGGCCATTGCGATCTCCTCGGGGCTGTACTTGGTGGGGCAGGAGTGCCCGGGGGTCACCATGTTGGGTTTCAGCAGGGTCCCCTCCAGGTAAACGTGGTGGTCGCTCAGCGCCTTGTAGACAGCTGCCAGCACCTGGGGAGGACGGGCAGCATGGAGGCCCCCGGCATGGCACAGCACAGCACAGCACGGTGCCCGCCCCGCCGCTCACCTTCTCCGTCACGTACTGGCACCGCTTGAGGTCGTGGTCCCCATCGGGCAGGATCTCTGGCTCCACAATGGGCACGATGCCGTTCTGCAAACATCAGGCAAATGCCATCACAGGGATGTCCTGGGCATCGCCCTGGCCCCATGGCAGTGTAGGCCCTACAATGCCTGGGCCTGGGGGGTGATGCTCAAGCCCAAGGTTCAATGTCCACCCTTGCCAGTGATGCCCATCTCAGTGGCGTGATGCCCAGCCCCATGGGGTGATCCCAGCCTAGGAAGGCCAACTCTTGGCCCCACAGAGCAATACCCACATCTGTGGGGTGATGCCCAGCCCATGGGGCAACGCCTGGCCCTGGGGGGCAATGCCCACCCACGAGGTCTTACCTAGCCCTTGGGTTGATGTCCAGCCTCATGGGGTGATCCCCAGGCACAGGGGTGATGCTGAGCACCACAGATCCGTCCCCATCCCTGTGGCCCCTTAAGTCAACCCTCACCCTATGGGTCAGTGCCCAGCCCACAGGGAGATGCACAGACACGGACCTGCTGGCAGATGCTGGCATAGCGGGCCAGGACGTTGGCGTTCTCCATGATGGCAAGTGCAGAGGGGGTGTTGTCACTGATCTTCAGCACGCAGCGCCACTTGGCAAAGTCAGCCCCATCCTTCTTGTACTGGGCACAGCGCTCCGAAAGCCCGTCCAGACCTGCCGGGCAGCACGTCAGCCCCACAGCCCTGAACCCCATGGACCCTGAACCCCACAGCTCCCAAGCCCCTACCCACTTCACCTACCCTGCGTGGTGGTCTCGCCATCTGTCCCCGCCAGTGGCACAACGCCCTTGTCCACCTGTGGAGAGATGGAGAAGGTGGCGCTGAGCCCCACTGGCAACTCCCAAGTACCCTCAGCACCCCACAAACCCCACCAGACACCCCCCAGCACCTTGATGCCCACAACGATGCCCTTGTCCTTGATCATCTGGACGAAGGGGGTGCCATCGTCAGCCTTCTGGTACATGGTCTCATGGAAGAAGATGACGCCCCCGATGCATTTCTTCACCCGGCTGTCGGCGCTGAAGAGGATCTGGCGGTACAGCCGGCGGTTCTCCTCCGTGTTCTCCACCCCGATCTGGTTAAGGCGCTTGGCCATGCTCCCTGCCGGCACCCAGCACCCTCGTCAGCCTCAGGCGTGGGGAAAAAAGGGCTGGTGGGACAGATATCCCCC